GCCTCGCACACGTGCGGCAGCCCGCCCGAGGACTTCTGCCCGCACGTGGGCGCGCCGGGCACCGGGACGCAGTGCCGGCGCTGCGACGCAGCCGACCCCCAGCGCCACCACAACGCCTCCTACCTCACCGACTTCCACAGCCAGGACGAGAGCACCTGGTGGCAGAGCCCGTCCATGGCCTTCGGCGTGCAGTACCCCACCTCCGTCAACCTCACCCTCCGGCTGGGTAAGCTCCGCTCAGGGGCGCCGCCACCCCGCCCCGCGCGCCCTGGCGCCTGCCCCTGTGCCAGAGGCGGGAGCCGGAGTTGCGTGGGCCCGGGGTTGTCTGGAGACCCAGAACAGAGAGGTGGGCTTGGGGGCAGGAAAGGTGCGGCTGGCTGGAAGCGCCCCTGCGAGGGCCCCTTGGGGCTGGCCGGGGCAGGCGCCTCCTGGGAAGCCTGTGTGCTTGGCGCAGGGCGGTGCCCAAGGGCGGTGCCCTGTAATGGGGACCATCAGGGAGCTTTCTGCCTCTGGCGGGGGTTCCTGTTCCTGGGCCAGCTGGTGGGCGCTAGGGGCTCGGGGAACCCTTGAGACTGTGTACCCCAGGTGGGAGCGGGGCTGCATCCCCAGAGAGCTCCGCTGCTCCCTGCTGGCAGTCAGGGTCCCGGCCAGATGGCACAGGCCCTCGGCAAGCCCAAGTCTCCCGGCCCTGAGCCCAGCCAAGGGGCAGGAGCCCTCAGCTCCCGGCAGTCAGGACGGGTCCTCTGGTGCTGCCCCTGCCCCTGGGGTCCTGCCCCTCCTGGCCCTCCTTGCACAGGCTGGGGGCTAAGCCTCCCTGTGTGACTCTTCCCACCGTCCTCACCAGGGGCGAGCTCCCCGCCACCCTTCCTTTCAGTGGGCTCCCACCCCCGAGCTTTGAAAACTCAAGGGAATTTTTGTAACTCATTTTGGCTGCCGAGCCTGACCTGAGGCTATTTCCAGACACAGTGTACCCCGCTCGGAGTGCGTGTTGGTCCATTTTGCTGCTGGGTCTCATCTGAGTAATAAGCCTGCGGCCCAGCCCCCCGGTGCGCTCCGACGCGCAGACCTCCCGCCTCTGAGCCTACCGGTGTGGACACGGGCTCCTGGACTGTGTCCCATTTCCCAGCTGGAACATGGCACCTCAGTGAAGTTAAGCGTGTGGCCGGGAACGCACAGCTGCGGGCGCCAGCCTGGGCGGGAGCCTCTGGCATCCAGGCCCAGAGCCTGAGGCCCTGCCCTGTGCTGCCAGCGGGGACCCTCCTCCTGGGGACAGCGCCTGCCTCGGGGAAGCCTGGGAAATGGTGACGCAGCGGGGGAGGGTGCTGGGCGCTCAGCAGAGCGGACCCACCAGCTGCGCCCCCCCCCCCGGCCCCGCCCTCACCTTCCTTGGCCTCCCAGGACCTTGGAGCTGGCAGGGTGTCTACCCAGCGGGGACAGGAAACGGGGAGGGAGCTGGGGAAGTGGGCTGGCAGGACCCCAAGGCCACAGGAGAAGAATCTGGGGTTGGCGGGGGTTGTGGGGAGACACGCTGCTTCATGACAGGGGTGTGCGGGTTTGGCTGATGGGTTGCATCTGTTGGTGGGACGCAGGCCAGGGGGTTCAGCCCCGGCACAGGCTAGGTGGGAGGTGGTGGGGGAAGCACCCCAGGTTTGGCTTGGGGGCGGTGCTCATTCAACCAGCCCTTCCTGTGGGGCCGCTGCTCTGCTGGTGGCCACGTTGGGCTCTCGGGGAACCTCACCCTCCGCCTAGAACCTTCTGAAGCAGGGCATTGTCCGTCCTCCAAAACCAGGGAGCCAGCGGCTCCGAGCCCCCAGCCGTGAGCGTGGGCCGAGACCACCCCCCGGTGGGGCTCCCGGTCAGCCTTCCGCTGGGCCGCAGCACCACGAACAATGTGCTGTGCGGTGGTTGCAGCACGAGCGAAGGGCGAAGCCAGGCCCTCGTGGGGAGCTCCCGGCCCGGCTCAGGCCTCTCCCCGGCCGCTCTGGGGCAGACGCGTGACCTCGGCCTCAGGCGGGCCCAGACCCCCGGAGCGTTGGCAGCCCCGGGCACAGCATCCGCCTGCGAGTGGGCATGAGAGCGGCCTCCCCGGCGGGTGCAGGTCCTTGGCCCAGACCCCCAGGAGCTGGCGCCGTGTCGAGCGTGGCCCAGGGTGGAAGCTGCCCGGTGGCCTCTGCCGTGAGGATTGCGAAATGCCGGCCACGCTGGCTGCCAGGCACCCTGACCTTGCTTACGCACCGGGGCCGTGGGGACCCACAGGGCCCCCGCCGGGCCCATTCTGGGTTCCATGCGACTTGGGTAGGCGCCACACTGAGCCTTGCGTTGCGTAATAGCGTGGAAGAACAGGTCTCGGGGTGTCAGGGTGTCCGGTGGTGCCAGATCTCCAGACCCAGCGGGCGGGAGCCCCAGGCCGCCTCTGCTGCCCTGCCCCCCTCTCCGTGACCCTGCTCGTGGGAGGGGACGGTGGGTGGCGCTCTGGCCCGGGGTCTCCTGGAGGGTGCCTGAGGGGCAGGGAAAGGACAGGCAGCGGTCAGCGGGAGGAGGTCGCTGCTTTCCCAGCCCCCTGCGAGCTTGCAGACATCTGTTCCAAATCCCAGCCCGCGCCGCTAAGCCGGCGGAGCCCCCGTCTGGGATGAAAGGCAGGCAGAGTCCAGCCGCTCCCGCCCCTCTGCGGCCGGGGAAGAGGCGGCCTGGGCCTGCTGGCCAGAGGGGTTGTGGGGGCAAGAGCTTCAGTGAGGGGGTTCCCCACAGGCTGAGTCCGCAGAGTGGGCCCCCCAGCCTCACACGACTAACTCGCTCTTTATTGGAGCAGGAAATGGGAGGCCCAGAGGATGGAGCCTCACGCCCGTCACCCAGCCAATAAAGGGGACCCTGGGCTCCCCAAACAGCGCTTCAAGTGGGACGCGCAGGGTGGGGCAGGTCGGCTCCTCGCGGGGAGGGACCCTCCCTGCCTGCTTGCACAGCTTGGGAATTTTGAAAATCCTCCGGCAGCACAGAAAGACCCTGAGTCCTGAGGAGACCGTCTGGGCCTGTGGGCGGTGGGTTGTGGGCGCCAGCCTCACCCCTCCCCTGAACACACACGCGAGGCGTCAGGCCACCCGCGTTCCTCAGCGATCCCCGTCTCCCCCCTAAAGCCCTCCGTGTCTTCGCTTCGTTCCTCCAACAAAACGAAGCCCCTCCCGGCACCCCACAAGTATGGCTCCTAGGGTGCCCCCCTCCACCCCGTCACCCCACTCCCGCCCCCTTGGCTGGCTCCTGCTCCTCGCCACAGTGTCGGGGTGTCCTGGGTCCCTCTGGTTGGAGGCCGGTGGGCAGTGACAGGAGAACCAGGGACGTCCCGCCTGCCCTTGGGCCCCCGCGGCCCCATGCGGAGTGGGGGACAGTGGGACCCGGCCAGCCAGGGCGGGGCTGGACATCAGGGGGCTCCTGCAGCCCCAGGAGCCCCGAGCCCGCTGGGGCCCGCTCGCCCCGCCGCGTCTTCCTGCTGAGTGGGCGGCTGTTTGCGCTGGCCAGAG